TACTGCCCGTCCTGTTCAGATAAAATTGAGAGTCCTGACCACATAATTAGAGACTGTATAAGATTCGTAGATACTAGACAAAATCTAGAGACACTAATTGGGGAATCCAGCCCTTCTACTATGGTAATGCAGATGTTGGCAAGCATCGAAGAATGGAGCTTTTACAAGAGCATAATCTCTAGAACAATAAATACTGTTAGAGCGGACGAAATACTTAATACACAATCGGAGTGAATGCACGCTAAGTGCTCTTCTAACCTGCCCTGTGAAGGAATACCTTAATTGGTCGTACTGCAGGGATTTTCAGGATTTTGAGTTGAGAATGTAGGGGACTTTTTAGTCCGTAGGCATGTATGACTCAATTTGAGTCGTGCATGAATCGGGCATGCAAATGGTATCTTTATCGGGCGGGTATCTTTTGAAGATTTTTCCCCCAGGTCCGACACCAAAAAAAAAAAAAAAAAGCCAGCTTACCTTCGCACACAACGTGTGAAGAAAAGAATACGAGGAGCACATTTTGTGTGCAGACTCGAAAATAAAAATGCACCCAAATGTGCGGAGACGAAATGTCTACTGCACATTTGTGTGAAATGATGATTTAAAAGCGCACAATATTATGACAAATATCGCAGCAAAATAGTATGGAAAACTGATTTGTATTAATTTTGGTCTTAATGCGAAATATTTTATTGCAGAAATGATTTTGTATTTATATTTTATTTTGAATTGATTATGAGATTTACATTTATTGCTTATATTACTTATTATTTTAACGTTTATTAATTTAAGACATGGGAATAAAGTTTATTTCACAATGTACTTGAAAACTTTGTTATATTGAATAGGTACATGAATTAAATAGAGAAAGAGTATTAGTTTCGAAATGTTATAAGTAAAGAGGATCGGTTCTACAGATCTTACTTTGAAAAAATTAAATATATCAATTTTGGACTACTTCATAGAATTTTATTTAATAGTAAGTTATACACTAAGATTCGTTAGTAAGATTATAAAAAGCAAATTAAATATTTTTTACAACAACATAAATTAATTTTGTTATTATATTTCACTTAATTTTTTATCTTTAATTACAGCTTAAATTTAATGAAATTATTGAAATAATTTAATAATTTAATATCTTAATTTCTTATTAAAAAATATTTAATTTTAATTACATACATATATTTTGAAATAAATTTTCATATAATCATATTGTTACGTAATCGCCTGCGTGATTATTCGAATCTCAGGATTTTGTAAAAAAATGAAACGAACTTTTAAAATTGGAGAAACTATATTTATTATATTTGTTGAATTACAAAGAACTAGTATTTACTAGGAGTCAATTTAGTAAAACGCAGCTTCACACCGAACAAAATTCAAAACTAACTTTTTTTATTAAAAATATCAATTGACGTAATGTTTAAATAATATTTAAACATTTCATTGCTACTCTGATGAAATTCGTAACAATATTAATAACATTGCTGAAATATTTTTTTCACTTAAATTATATCTCTGCTTACTTAGCACAGTAGAAAGGGTGCTAAAAGATGGAATTTCTGTGGAAACTAATTGGTTTGTATTTAAAAATTTTGTGTCCTACCAAAAGAGTCAAAAATTTCACTTCCTTTTCAGGTTTTTTAAGTTCACATTAGCAAGTCTAAGCATCCTGCTACCTGTTCAAGAATATATTTTCCTAATCTTTCGCGTTTTTTAATAAATGTTAGATACTCTACCTAAGTAAATACATATTTCTGGGGACGAAAAATATCTATCTGTGGCCCACCCGTATTATCTTTTTTAAACTGTTGCAAAAATATTAAACAAATACACCGATACCAATACCTGCTACCTGTGCAAAAAAAATCTTTTGTGTTTTTTAATAAAAGTTAGATACTCTACCTATGTAAATACATATTTTTTGGGCATAAAAAAATCTTCCTAAAATATGTTTTTATTTCCTTTAAACTAGTGCAAAACTTTCTAAACAAATACTTTAAGTTCACTTACTATATTTGCATTTAAAAATGCAAAAAAGTTGGGAAGTAATATACAAAAAACTAATATTTTAAGTTAAAATACAAATAAGGTTAAGACAGTTATAATTTTCAGTTAACATTACTTAACAAAAATAATTATTTTAAATATTTGTTAATTTATGCAATTTTTAATATAAGTTACAATCCCAACAAACGCAAATATCAATTTTTTCAAAATTTGCAACAAAATAATATTTTCTATTTCAAACAAAATTGTGAAGTTCCTGTAATTTTTTTCCACCCTTGGGTGCAAGCGCAAAATCGCACGTTTGTGCAATCGCACATTTGTGCACATTTGTCCAATCGTAATATGAGCAACACACTTGTGTGCAGAGAGAATTTTTTGTCGCACAGTGCGGTGCGAGCATAAAATTTTCTCGCACATCTGATTGTGCACATTT